CTCTCATCAGCTTTCAATTCCCAGTAAGGGTATAGCTAGCTGATGAGATCTAAATAGCTTGAAATAGATCTATATTAGTCTCCCTTTATTTATCAGCACAAATGCAACATATACATACATACATACATACATACATACATACATACATACATACATACATACATACGTATACACACAGTATATATACACTATACACACACACACACACACACACATACATATGGTGTCACAACCCCTGGTATACCCAAATACGGGAGGGAGCATACTGCTTCTCTTTTCTGTCTATAGGCTCACTCTGGGACATATATATATATATTCATTCTAAAATTGTGGGTTGCTCCATCACTGGAGGCTTTTAAGAAAAAGACTGGACAGCCAATTGTCTCTCTTTCTCGGGCAAGGGGTTGGACTAGAAGACCTCAAAGGTCCCTTCCAACACTTTTATTCTGTTAAATAAACATTTGGGACATTTCATATTCAAATCCAGTTTGTGAATTTAATTCTAATTCACCAATGATACAAATTCTCCATCAAAACCAAAGGGAAGGGGGGGGGAGAAACATTCAAAGTCGAAAGAGCCTTTTCTGAACTCAGAAGGTTGAGAGCAGGGCCTCTGACCAAGAAGCCGTAGGCCACTTCCCAAGGCTCTTGCCCACCAGGAAGCCGGCCTGGGGAGAGTTGGTTCTGGCCCAGCTCCAAGCTGCTCTGCAGGCAGATACTGAAAGTGGGAGAGCTCACCTGAGTCACTTGGGGAAGCCCTCCGGAATCAGCCATCTAAGAAGAAAGCAGAGGTTGCATCTGGGCAGGCTCCTCTTGCCCTCCAGATCTTCCCCACAGCCCACCCTGCCCTGGCGCTGAGGGCAGCTGTGCAGATGGGCAGCGCTTGAATGTGGATGCTTGTGCTAATGGCAAGATGCTTCAGACATGATGATTTTCTTCCCCCTTGTATCAAAATTATTGGGGGCGGGGACACCAATGTCTGTAAAGTTGGAATTGGTCTCTAAGCCCCAATGGGGGTGGGAGGGAAGAGCCAAAGGCTACAGAGGTCCTGCAAGAAAAGGCCTCTGTCCATTCATTCCTTGTGGACCCTCTGGATGGGACTAGAACTCCAAGCCTGGGCTGTAGTCCAGCAACATCCCCCCCCATACACATTTATTTAAAAGAAGCAGGAGTGTATAGCCGCCCTCCTTTCCTTCCATTCTAGATATTAACAACAGCTGGAAAGGTTCTGCCCAGGCAATATGGACAAAATTCTGGAGCAAAGAACTCCACTTATGCGAACGCATAAGGTAAGTGGGATGAGGTGCCAGTCAGGAATAGTCAGTGGAAAGAGGGACTGTTGCTTTACATCTGTGCCACAGTGCTAGCAAAATCCACTGCCACAGGCGCCAATGGGCACTTTCCTTTAAAAAGAGATCACACCACAGGCTGGATATGTAAGATCCCACAGGTTGAATGCACAACTAACTAGGCAACCGAGCAGAGGAACGCTGCTACCAGGAGTGCTCCCGGAGAACACCCAGGGACCCCTGGTAAGGGCTGACATGGGCTGGTCTGCCAACTCACCTTCAGGAAAGTGGTGGTGGTTGGGTCCAGCTTGGAGTTGCATTCAACCTGCAAAGAACAAAGTTCCCACTAATACCAGGAGTGAAAGGCCATGTGGCCAAACTCTTTCCCCTGGCAGGCAGGCACCCAAACAAGAGCAGGACCCCCCTTCAGTTAAATTCCAGGAAACCCTACACTCAGGGTTAAACATGCATCATCTTGTTCTGCAACTGGAGAAAATATTTTTTAAGCAAAAGGAAGTAACTGGTGAATTCTCACAACCTAGATATGGCAGCCATCTTTATGTAAAAATGGGGACTGTGCCCATTCTATTCTGCTTTATCTCAAGAGTAGCCTGATGAAACTTCCACCTCTATCTACCCCTAAAAGGTTGGATTGTCTTGGCCTCCTTGGGAAGGGCAACTTTGTGGCAGCTGCCAGTCACTTGCCAAGTGTGGGAAGACTGGCTGCTCCAGGTCTTCTGCAGCCTTTCTCAGATGGATTTAGATACAGTCAGTCAAGAAACAGGCCAGGCCACCATTTCTTGGCAGTGCACTTCAACTGCAGCGATCCCAGTGGCCACTTCATCTGGAGGTCACCAGAGTCCCCTATTCCAAAACTATTCCAAAACTTTGGAATAGTTTTGGGGGCCAAAACTATTCCAAAGAAGTCAAACGCAACACAGCATCGCACATGCACTCTGGGCACTATGGCAGGATTTGCTACCAGTTGCCCTTCTGGCAGCTGCAGCTGAGAAATGGCTTTCCTCTCTAGGCCTTGCAAAGATTTGAGTGAACTTGCAGCCACGAGCGGACAGCCCTTCAGCCAAGCTGGCTCAACAGCTCCACTCACCACACCATCTTCTGCAGGGGCGTTGTCGCCTACCACCAGCATCACCGGGCAGCTGTGTACCCAAGGGGAGAAATGCAGTCAGCAGAACAGCCTCCCTCTTGGCCACCACTGTCCCGCTTGTCCTGCTGGGACTTACCGGAGCGTCTTGGCATTGGGCGCACTGCCAGGGCGGTTCATCTCCAGATCTCTGCGGCTAAGAGAAAGGGGGATTTCAGGAGCCATTTGAGGAAATGCAGAGGACATTTCAAGGAGGGTCTTTGACCAGCTTTTGACAGAGCCAAGCTGGGGGGCTGGCCACTGGGAGCTTCCAAGACCCAGTCTAATCATGAGCCCAAATCTCCCCAAGGGGAACCTCCTTTCAGTGCAGACCCAGCTTCACTTTTTAATGGAGCTGCCTTTTTACCAAGGTTTATGGGGTTCCAGACTGGGGGAGAATGCTTTTTAAACTTTGGTTCTAGATCCAGGCTGTGTTTCCATTTGGTACTTGCACCTTCTAATGTGGTGTTGCTACTGCCTGTCTTCCTTGGTGATGGTTTTTCAGTTATTTCATTGGCTTATTCTAGTTTAACTGTTCACCCTGAGACTTTGGCTACAGAATGACTCAGAAGCCCAAGCAACCTAATGCTCCAAGAAACACAGCAAAGCAGGTGTGTTTTTTTTAGAAATATACAGGTTTAGAGGCAGTGAGAGCAGCTGTCCAAGAGAGGCAGGCTGTAGGAGAAACTTTTTGAAATGTAACAGAGGTCACTGTACAGCAGTGGCAGAGGCAACCTCATACAACCACAGAAAAAACTCCTGAGTGTCGCCCCCCTTAGGTTCCAAGATTATCTTGCACCCCTCTGCCCGCCAAGGGCCCTCACTGCCAAGACAGATGGGTCACAAACCACCTATGTGTAATTTTTGAAACGGGGGGGGGGGGGGACACAAACTTTCCAGATGGCAGGAATCTGGTCTGGATGCTGCTTCCATGGTGTGAAAGCTTAACATGTCGAGGGGCACAGCAGCCAAGCTGGCTTCTACACATAGGATGAAGGCACGAAGAAAGCAATTCCCGTTACATGGAAATTAGAGCCCCTTTTCTCCCACTGCCGTGCGGAACAGGCTCTGTTGCAGTCCAAAGGGGCTCTGGGTACATGAGCACTTTGGGGGAGGTCCCACTTTACCTGTTGTACATAGTCCAGAAGAGCTGCAGGTTGAACTGGTTCACCGTGCTGGCAATTTGCTGGCGATAGCTCTGTACCAGCTCCATGTTATTGGCCAACTCCTCCTGTGGGCATGGAGATGGCACAGGCAAAGGTAGGCCTGGCAAGCAGCCCCCAGAGCCAGGCCTGCTTGTGTAAGTGGCAATCAAACCATCCCCAGGCCCAGCCCATACCTGGGGGCCAAGGCTCTCCACCCTTCTGCTGAGTCAGACCTCACTAAGACACCAGCCAATTCATGGCTGATTGTGAGAGATGGAGAACTTGCCTGGGGTGTGGGGGTGGGGACACAGCAAGGGACTTTTGCACTGCCAATAACAGACAAGCTAGGCACAGAGACTTTTGGCTAGAACTTCTATCTGCCCACTAGAAGTTCAGAGGTCTACCTGCATTGAAGGGGACACCCCCTTCTACTCAGCGTGAAATGCAACCCAATTATTCAGATGAGACATGACCATGGATTCCACAATACCAGCCACCCCCTGGCCCAATTTCTAATGTTAGAACCAGCCCTTTCAGTGGCATGAGATGTCAGGGAAAACTGTTGGCGGAATGACTTGGTGTCCCCATCCCCACCTTTGTAGGTGTGAATGACCCTTTAAAGCAGTTTCTACAGCCATCCTATGGTGCAAGCAGCTACCAGAGAAGAGATTCCCTGCCATGCAATCCTTTGGGATTGGGCAGCATATAAATATGTCAAATAAATAAATAAATAAATAAATAAATAAATAAANAACCGGTTCTACCGAATAGGTGCAAACTGGTAGGAACCCACCTCTGTATTGCTTCCAGAAAGTGGTTACTCCTCATCCCACTTCCTAGACCCGAGGGACACAAGTTTTTTTCAGTGGAAAGATTTAAAAGTCTCCCCTGTCCAGTTGTGAAAAACTCTAGGGCTGATGCTCATCTCTGATTCTCAGCTGAGGGAGCCTGCATTGTCTGAGAGATGCTTTAATCATCATGTGGCCAGCATGAAAATATGGAATACAGTAACTTTCCCACCAAAGTGGTACTTTTTTATCTACTTGCATTTGAATGGTTTGAATTTGCTAGGTAGGCAGGAGCTGGGGCAAGTAAGGAGGACTCACTGCATCATGCGGCACTCAGGTCTTGAACCCAGGCTGTCTGCCTTCTAGCTGACAAACCCCCTGTCTTAACTTCTGAACCATCGCAATGCCCTATTGCTATTCAAAGGTGGCATCAAACATTTGAGTTGCAAGCTAAAGAAGTGGGATGGAGAAACATACTCAAAGGACAAGCGTAATCTTATGTTTACTTCCTAAATATGATAGTCCTTCAGGTTCAAAGAAGACACACTGTTTTGCAGTTGATCTATGGGCACACAAGTGGTTCTGCAGTCCAGTCTGGAAGCACCAAGTCTTGCACAAAAGGGTCCTAAAAGTCCATTGTTGTAGTAACTCTGGGTCAGAGGTGGGTTCCTACCAGTTTACACCAGTTTAAAAAAAAATCTATTGGTTTTTATAAGAGCCTCTACCGAAACCTCATACTACAGGGCTCACCAGGAAGGAGAGCCTCACAAGGCATATGTTTTGTGTTCATCAGCATCAGGTGAGGTTTAACATCTTATTGGTAAACACAGTCACTTTAATTATTCAAAGAGATAAAATTATTATAACCACTGACCAAAGTACAAGGAAACAATTACATATATTTTGGCACACTTTTTAAAAAAGTAATAAAATAAACTAAAAGGAGGGATTTTTTAAAAATTTCTCTTTGGAGGGGAAATATTGGTCTAAAGAAGATGTGTCTTAACTCTGCATATAAAAAATGAAAAGCAAATAGTAAAAACAGAGATTACAGTGATGTGGGATGGAAAATACTCCACTTCTATGTCATTTATTTATTCAGTTTCTATAGATTCCCATCTCAATGACTCAATCACTCTTGAGTGGCTTACAGTTCCAAAAGTATAGAAACAGTAGAAAACATCTAAACAAAATTAATATTGTTGTTTTTGTTATATTTATTTGCTGCCCATTTTGCAATTTGAGGCCATTTTAAGTTGATTACAGTGTGATAAAATATACAAATATGAAGACAATTATAAATATAAGAACAGATTAAGATACAGGGGAAAATAATCATGCAAATTAAAAACCCTGAGTTTGGAATAGAGAGATGGTGATGTTTACTATTTCTATCTTCTCTATTACAAACCACATCCAGCCAATAGTTTCTCTTTCAGGACTCTAAGCCAACTGAGAGTGGGTGGATCTCAACTCCTGTGGCAAGATGTTCCAAAGGGCAGAACCCATGCAATTCCTTGGCTATTTGGATCCATAGTAGGCTGTTTTGACCCCCCTCATTCCACACCAAAGCACACTCCGAGCCAGAGATAAATTATGGCATTTAATTAACAGA